AAGCTTTTTCTCCTGAACAAGGGAAATTTTGCAGCAAATTATTGCTGGGTTGGGAACACTCCAGAGAAAACAGCTGGCGACCTGTTTTAATTGTGATGAATGAGACCACAAGTGTACAGCTGGGTACATATACAATTGTTTTTACTTGTTGGGCGTTGCTTTTCACAGGCATCGCTTCCATCATGATGCCAAGTGTATCTTACAAGTCCTTTGAATGGCCCTTAAATAAAAAGCAGACTGTAAAACTATTTGGATTTTGTAAGCTAGTATCTCCTAATGACTTAGAATAAAGTATTAAGGCAGCACTTTGTTTTACTTAAAATGGCACACCAATAACAATAATGCTTTTTGAAAATAATTAAAAATACCTTTGTATTTAATATAAGTTAGGTTACATATTGTACTTCACATTATTGGTATGTTTTCAGAATTTGTTTCTTATCAGCACATTCCCATGACGTTTCCTCTTGTAAAACACTTGACTCTTCCTCCCCCCAACCCCTTTTGTATTTACAAAGTTCACTTTAATTCTTATGTGTCTATTCTGATTAAAAATAAGGGGAGAAAAAAAAATGTTGCAGTATTAGTAAGAAAAGATTGTGAGGCCTGCATGTAATTCCTGGGCTTCCTGACAGACAGCAATGGGCCACATCTGACACAAATGGTTCTGATTTTTAAATCTTCTGGTTTTTAACTACACAAAAGCACCTCAGGTTATTATTGTTGAAATATTTGTTTGTTTCCTGTTGAGAGCTGGGAATCCAGAATTAGGTGCATGTACCCTGTGCCTTGGGTTCGTGCTGAAATCCTGAGAGGGGGCTTGGTTGTGGAGGGGAATGACACCCCTGCCCAGCTCTCCGGGGGTGTCCGGCGGCCCTGCGGGCAAGCCGTCCCGGGGAGGCCTGACGTCCCACAGTGAGCTCTGCACTGAGTATTCTTCCATCTGCCCAGCCCGGTCCCCAAGTGAGGCGGAGCTGTCCCATGTCTGCAACCAGAAGGGGGCTGTGGAAAAAGAGAGGAGGAAGAAGGGAAAAGGGTATTCTGGGGAAAAAGGAGCGAGGGCTGTCTTTGCCCTCCCTTTACCACCTCCCGCTGCAGCTTCCAGCACAGATGAAGTTCTCTGGGGACAGAGCCTGGCTTTTAATGAGGTCAGACTGTGTGTGGGATGTATGGGAAGAAGGGTGTAATAACATGAAAGACGCAGAAGTACTGCAACGCTCATTGGTATTGTAAGAGAGCTGGTGGAGGTAAGGCCTTTTCTGATGTTATGTGGTGCCATTGCAAGGGCAGAATAACCAGTGGGGTCACCAGAGACGTCCATGTTGCTGAGCTCTCTCTGCATACTGGGCGTGCATCCTTCATTACAGCCTGTATTACACGATGCATTTGTTGTTCTCCCCATGCACCTCCTGAGCTGGGAGAGGATGCTCCATGGCTTCGTGGGCATTGACTAGCACAAAAAGGATGGATGTGGGTGTTGGGCAGCAACCAGCAAAGGTGTAGTCAGTATTGATGCGAAGGTGTCTCTGCAACAAAGGTGTCGCTAGGATCAGGGGAATGGTTTGTCTTAGTGCTGCTGAAGAGTGTAGGTTCTGTGCTCTTAGTGAAACTTTGACCTTTATAATCTCCCCAAAGGTGAGGCAACAGGGAAGAGATGATGGAGACAGCTTCTCAGTCTTTAGCTGAGGCACTGTATAGGGAACACATTAGTACCTTTATATTAATGTTAAACATTGAGGAAAATCTTGATTTGCACACTTACAGAGCATGTTTTTATAGTTTGTTTTTTTTCTCTCTGTCCTGGTTTTATTTAGATCCTAAGCAAAAGTTTTGACTTTGAAACTAAAACACCCTTTGGTTCTGCCTTGAAATTAGGAAGATGAATCAAAAGCTTTTCTTACTATTTTGGGGGGTTTTTTTCTTCCTCTTCACAGTTTCCAGTCATCCTTCTGCCCAGTTTCTGCTTCCTGCTGTTCTTCCATTACTATCTTCTTGCTCCTAAAACTCTGAATATTGCCTGACTGGAGAGGATATTTTTTTCTTCACAACTGTATTGCTTTTACCTGTCTGTCCCCCACCCTTTCTATTTGATTTAGATAAAGTCCTGCCCATACATTGGGGCTGGGAACTGGCAGTGTTTGTGCTTGGCTGATGAAAGGTGTAAAGTGTTAACTTTCTTATTGCAGATGATGAAGAAAAAAAACTTCAGGAGCCTTTGTTGTATTAAGGATGGTTTTAGTGATATGATCAGAAACTGAAGAGTACCATAAGGCTTGATGTGGGTAGGGAAAACTTAAATTTCAGTAGGTTCTGGATCTGCTGTCCTCACAAAGATATAATGCTTGGTATGATCATTTCTCTTTGAAATAGTTCTGTCATTGTGAGTGACTCCACAGTAAAAAAGCAAAAAAAGGAGGGGGAACAGAGTTTTAACATGTGACTGCAGTAACACATCATCTTGTGGTTAAAAATGACCAATTATTTCACTGAAATAATCTGGAAACAATTTCTCTTGCTGGCTTTCTAGTAAAGTCAGCTGTTTTTCTGAAGTGCATCCTAATTCCCTGAATAGGTAATAAAATTCAAACAATATGTTTATCTAGTTTATTTGAAAAGATTAATTTTTTTTTTTAATGGTGGGTAAAGAATCACTCTGCCACATGTGCAAGGGATGAACTAACTCTGACCTGTTTTCTACAGGCAAGGATCGTTTGTTGTTAAGTTTTGGGGGTTATCAGTGTGAAAATAAGAAATAGTTTGGCCACGTGTGTTTGGCTCATTGTTTATTTAGTTTTTAGGGTTTCGTAATGGGTATATAGATATAACAGTGTGAGTTGTTGTAACGGTTGAGTGTTGTAACACTCAACAGATTTCTTACCAGGTAACTTAACCAGTTAGTTCATCATCTATTTCTTTACCTGGTTTTGACAGTTGAGATATGAGCTGACTCTAAGAGACTGAGTTAATTCAGTGGATAGCAAACTTAAGTTCTTGATCTCAAGACATAGCTCTGATAAAGGCTGAGCTGGTAAGTAACAGAGTCAGTAGCTGAAAGGCTCAGCTGGTAAGCCTGAGTTGAGGAGTTCAGAAGTTTGTGCAGGAGGCCTAGATCTTTTACTTAAAAGGTGGCAACATTTTCTGATGTTTGTGTTCTCAGGGAAAAATATTAAAGGAAAAGGCTTGAGACCCAACTGGATGGACATTTAACTTACCAGGTGTATTTGGACTAAACAAAGAGCTCATAAGTAATAATGGGGGAAAAAAGAATTTGTCAGCAAAGAATGACTTAGAGGTCAAGATATGCAGGTATAGCATTACAGTTGCAAAAAATAAACTATGTAAGGTCTTGCAGAAGTAATTGGAACAAACAGCAAAGTGTTCTTCAGCTGTAAAAGTTAAAAGAGAGCAAGAAGAACGCAAGGGTGACCTCTGCAACGTCCAGGTGGAATAAAGGATAAAAATTATTTGGATATGGTCCAAAAACTAAGTAGCAATTTGTGAATGCTTACAACTTATGGCAAGCTAGATGCTGATTCCCTCTTAGAAGATACTGGAACATAGCAGATCCTCTAGAAAATGTACTGATTTCCTTAAATCTTTCAGGGTATTTGAGAGGGGATGAAGCCATATTATTGGAGAGTGACACATTTTGTAAAAACACTTAAGGAGGTGGAAGAACAGCTAAGAGGACGAGTTCAGTTAGCATACCCTTAGCAGTGTATGTTGGTTAACTGTGAAGTCTTTTTGAAGCATGTTCTTTTGAGAAGTTGTACAAGTTTTGTTTCCTTGTTTCTTTCATTTTTAAAAGATGATTTAGATTGTCTCAAGTTTGTTGTGAGAAGCTCTAGGATTTATGAATCTGCATTCTGAGATCAGAGCTTTAAACCATGAAATTTATCATCCTGTCACTGGCAGTATTTAGTACATGTTCTTTTGAGAAGTTGTACAAGTTTTGTTTCCTTGTTTCTTTCATTTTTAAAAGATGATTTAGATTGTCTCAAGTTTGTTGTGAGAAGCTCTAGGATTTATGAATCTGCATTCTGAGATCAGAGCTTTAAACCATGAAATTTATCATCCTGTCACTGGCAGTATTTAGTACTAGATGCATCAGGAGAAAGTAAAAAGAGCTACTTGGCTCTCTTCACATGATTCTTCTCTGGCATTTTTGTCTGTGGAACTGTGATGCTGAATTCTGAACAACCCATATGCCCTTGAGAAAGTAATATAAATGGAAAGATAGATTTTTCTAGAGAGATTTGCACCGCTTACTTACATGAGAATAAAGCCTTAAGAGTTTTTGGAATGTTCTCCCATTTCTTGCCCTCTTCTATGGGTTAATACTTTTATTATGTTTCTGTTGACATCCACTATAGCCCTTTGACTTGTATTTGAAGGCAGTTTAGAGCAAAGACTCTCTCACAGTTGTAACAGAATTCAAAGCTTGCTTATAAATCAATCATCTGTTCTCATCACCTGAGAGCTTGTCCTCGCAAAACATAAAGCCAAAGAACTGCTAAACCTAAACATCTGGCATAAGTAACACATTTCTTCTAAAATGTTGACTTTCAAATTTTTACCTGAATATTTTTCATAGTTCTTGCAAATATTTGTTGCTGCTCTTTAATAGGAGAAATTCAAGACTCTTCTTTGCAGTTTCTTTCTGCTCCTTGTGTGCTAAAGTAAATTTTGTGGCTGATCATAGAATTCTTTGTTTTGAGACTGATCTTTGCAGATTTCGGGAAAATCAGTTTGCCATATTCCATTTAAAATTTTATTTTTTAAATACACGTGACTCTTAATATTCAGGTTCTTTTCCTTTGTTTTTTACCTGCTCTTGACCTGCTGCTCACTTCGGTCTGTGCCTCATTTAATGACTACTGATTTCAGTGAAGTACTACGTAAGGAACAGTATCTTATCATTATAACTTAAATCCAGATAATGGACTCATCTGGTCTTAAAATGTGATGTTGACCAGGACGTTCTTTTTCTTTGTTTTCAGCCCAGTCACTGAAAGAGTTTGCTCGGCTCCTGATTGCTGTTGAAGAGGAGAGGAGACGACTGGTAAGTTTGGCAATAATATATTGCATTGGGCCTCTTTTTTGTATAAAATTGTACTTTTTTTCTATTCCTCCTGAAGTGCTATTTTAATTTTTTTTACTTGTGTAGTAGATGTTAAGTATTTCATAAGAATCACTTGATTCTGCAAAGGCAGAAATGTGCTAGCACAGACTGCAGCAATTTTTAATGGAGTGTTCAGCCACATACTTTTGCATTGATTTAAAAACTGTTTTCTCACAATTTCCTCCCTCCCTGCTCTGCACTCCAAAATAACCTCTGAATGCTGCTGTACCTTTCCTCTCTCCCATCTTGTCTTATTAATCACAAGGCACAGCAATAAAGTAAACTGTAAACAAAGAGCTTATACTGGAAATGTAGATTGGTATTTATATTTAATTAAATACTTCTAGAGTATTGTCCGGTGAATGTATACTGGTAATCCAAGAATATAACAAATAAGTGGTAAGAAGAGAAACCAAATTCATCACCTCTGAGAAACTCTTGCAGAGTACATCAGACTTGTCAGAGTTGTCCTTTGTTGCAGTATTCTTATTCCCTTTGTTTCCATACTGATGAATCTACAGTATGCTTTCATTTATATTTCTATACAGATGTGGCTTTCTTAAAGAAGTTTTAAGTATATTCTTGTACAAGTATTTTTTAAAAAATTCCACATAAGCAATGAAATTACTTTTTTTTTTCTTCCTTGTAAGTCAGTCATGAATAAAGTGAGGTAAGGATTAACCTCAGTAGGGGGATTTTTAAATATTGTGAAAGTTTAAGTAGCTCAAATGCATCCGATGACTATGTCTGTCCTTGTTTTCCTTCCTCATATGAGTACTTAGGGAGGTGAGGAAAAGGATTTTCTGACTCAGATTGGAGGAAATTTACTAATCCAGGAAGAGGAATACAGAAAGTTCTCTTATTCCTAGGAGTAAATAACCATAGAATTGGTCTCCCGCTATTTCTGTTTACATAAATATTTTAAAGTGGCAAAATCATAAACATTTATATGGTACAGTTGCATAGTTAATATCACCTAAACCTATAAAAGTGCAAAATTTTTGCTTCATGATAAATATTTTTTCCTGGGTAGATGGAAGAGTGAGAAGGTGACTGTTCAGTACTTAACACCTTAAAAGACCTTTGCTAGAACATTTATTAATTATTTAGTTAAACAATGTTTCAAATGAATAGCTTTCCAGTTTAGGTTAAAGATTACTGTGAGCTAACTATTAGAAAAAAGAAAAAGCAATTAATAGGTGAAGGTTTTCTTTTCATATTTTCATAATATGTATATGTAATTTCTCTTTATTTTATTTTTCTTTCTGTTTCTTTTTTTTCCTTGGAGGAGTCACTCCCTTTTTAACTTTTAGAAGTTTCTGCCCTCTCTATGGTTTATAATTTGATCTTTCCATGTAATGTTTTACTTTGTATCTTGTAGGAAGTCCATTAGAGTAAAAGGGGGAAAAACATTAATTTTATTAAGTGAAAAAAGATCAGTTGGATGGAAAGATACTTTTTGTTCTATTTCAGTATGACTTCAGTGGGAATGCATGGATTGTATAGCTGAGCTGTTGGATCCCAATGCAGGGTCAAAGACTTGGGTGAGACTTCAGTCTCACGGAAAAATATTTTAGAAATGGCTATAAGTTCAGTAGAATGTGATCATCAAATCGTTGTAAACAAAATGGCAAATAGTATTCATGTGTGGAGAAGCTGCTCTTGATGGGAAATCATTTGCATCCAGCTTTTCGCTGAGTTTGAAGTAGCCCCATTCTGTTTGTTTTTTTCAAACTGCATGCTCATGCTGAGAGCATCGACAACACACAGTTATCATGGTAGTGATATTTGAATAAGAAAATTCAGCAAACTTAGAATGTCTCTGTTTTAAAAAAGTTTGATCTGCCTGTTGGTGGAATTTATTTAATTATTATTGGAATTAAACTTCCTAAAATATTTGTTCCTGGTAGAGCCAAATGCAAAAATGAGAACCTGAGGCTTGAAAAAATACATATAGGATGAACCAGTCCCACCTAGATCTCGACATAGTTACCGTCCCCATGCTATTCTTTAGGGATAAATTTTATAAGTGAAAAAGAGAGTTTGGTCATCTCTTTTTCTGTTTTCTGAGTTTATGTCCTGTGCCACACTGTGATGGCATTTACATGATAGAGATGCTTTCCATTGCGTGTTGGGCTGCGTTACTTACTGCTCTGGCCCTAAGTCACAAAGTTCTAAATGCTCTGTAAAAGTAGCCAAAACGTTGTTGCTGTACTAACTTCATACAGTTGTACAAATCGGAGATCCTGCTATGATGCAGTGTACTGACTTAAAGGTTGTGTCTGGTTTTATTTAGAGGCAAAAGACAGGCTCTCCTGACATTTTTCGCCTGAAACCCATTAATTTGCAGCTTTTCATACTATAATGAATGTATTTATTGTATCTTGTGGTATACGTCTTTGCTGTAAGGGCTTAGAAGCTTAAAAACAAAACAAAAAAGCAATACAGAAAATCCAGAGGTCCCTGTAAGCATCAGTGTGCCATGCTAGATGCTGAACAGATTGCTAGTAATAAGAGTTTTTTGCTTGACAAACTTGTGATTTAACTGTGAAATCTTGAAAAATTTTTTGCCTATTTCTGAGGAAGCACGGAGCGTTATGCATACACTTTGATTCCTCTGCTAGAAGCACTTCAAGCCAGCCAATTTGCAAATTAGTGATGATTTTAGAAGTTCTCAGCTGACTGGAAAGCTCAAGACAGGGCATGCAGGTCTTTAAGAATTTGATTTCCTTTACTTCTGCATAAAAAGAGAAAACTTGCAAAAGTTAAAAAAAAAAAAAAGCTTGTTCTTTTTGACATTTTGTAGAAGGCTAGGAGAAAAGCAGCTAGTCAGTGTTGAGACTATTTATGGATATGCTTCATCATACCATTTACAACTTCCTTTTAATTCTTGAAGTGTGTGACAGTAAAAGATAGTATTGTATCAGCAAATGCTGGATTTACAGGAATAAGGAATGACAGATGTTAATTTTACTTACCAGCTAATGATCTTGTTTCCCTGCCTTGAATTTTACATTATTAATTTCTGAGCATGCATATGAGTGCATGAATCAGATTTGAATGTGGAAAGTGTATATTCATATTACCAATTTATTTCTCATCTGATGCCTATTAAAATGTCATAAGTAAAATTATTTTTTTGTTTTGGTGAACACGCAGAGGTGTGTTGGAGTGCTTGCCCGCTGATTGTATAAATTAAGTGTTTCCAATGGTCAAGGAAATAGTTTGAGAGGTGCTTAGCAAGTTTTCTGTCCTTCTTGCATAAAGAACCAAAAGGAACTCGTTTTTGTTTTCTTTAGAAGAAGCTAGTGAAACAAGATATTATGAACAGTATTACTGGGAAAAACACTGAAGTGTAAGGTTAAATAAAACTGTGTATCACATAAATAAATATTCTGTTGTGTAAAGCTTTGCAGCCATTATTGTTGACAGCAGTAATGATATGGTGATTATTATAAGTCAATTTCTTTTATATGAGTTATGAGTGCAAGAATCAGATTTGAATGTGGATATTCATATTACCAATTTATTTCTCATCTGATGCCTATTAAAATGTCATAAGTAAAATTATTTTTGTTTTGTGGTGAACACGCAGAGGTGTGTTGGAGTGCTTGCCCGCTGATTGTATAAATTAAGTGTTTCCAATGGTCAAGGAAATAGTTTGAGAGGTGCTTAGCAAGTTTTCTGTCCTTCTTGCATAAAGAACCAAAAGGAACTCGTTTTTGTTTTCTTTAGAAGAAGCTAGTGAAACAAGATATTATGAACAGTATTACTGGGAAAAACACTGAAGTGTAAGGTTAAATTAAACTGTGTATCACATAAATAAATATTCTGTTGTGTAAAGCTTTGCAGCCATTATTGTTGACAGCAGTAATGATATGGTGATTATTATAAGTCAATTTCTTTTATCCTTGTCTTTTATTTCCTGATGCTAAAAAATTGACTAGTAGTTTTAGAAAAAACAGAGGTCATGCACTAAACACTTCCCCTTAAAAAGCAAATAAAGGAAAAAGTAACTCGCAAGACACCTTTTTTTATGATATACTGCCTTTTGCTTGATATCTGTCATTTCATGGTGTTGTTAATTTAATGGTGCTGTTGGTAAATGGTGCATTAAAAAAAAAACCCAGCCAAACAGCTCTGACTCTTGGGTTTTACAAGTAACGTACCAATAGGATAAAAAGTCAGATTCATCCCCACTGCCTTTCCAATGACTTCAGCAACAAGCCACCAGGGAATGTAAAATAATGACCTCTATTTCCCAGTGATTATTAGGGAACAATAGAGATGCTATAATTTAATTCCATGTGAATATTTGGATCTATATCAAGGGAACTTACTTAAAATAATTTCCTTCTGCTCTTTCTGAATGTACATTGTTTCTGTTAAATAAGTGATATGCTTTTTTAATGTTAGAGATTCATGCATTATTTATGTTTCCTATTCATTTGATATTGTTAGTAAACTTTATAACAAACAGAAATGTACTGGGAGTGATACAAAATACTGTCATAGGCTTATGCTGTGTTGACAAGAAGAATAGATGAATTGGTTCACGCTACTGATTTCCTCTTCCTTGAGATCCCCTATCGATTTGAAGAATTAAATGCATTCTCTTGAGTGTTATGTTACCTTGAATGTAACTCCCTGATTATTTCTGGAAGTTTACTAAATCCCAAACTGAAATAGACCTCTTAACTGTTACATTCCTTGCTATTTACCCAAGTTTTTATGGGTTGCTGGCAAGTGATGAATGGTCCCAGAGCTTTTCTCTCTGGCATCGTGAGTCAGTGAGATGTGTATGGTTACTTTGAATTTCTGACCAATATTAAATACTTCAGGGGATAGTGCAAAAATTCTGAAGTGGGTAGTTGTGTACTATGCTCGATGAATTTTTTTCTTTCTAATGTCTGTGTCTTTTTGTATCTCATAATCTTCAT